AGTGTTCTAGCAAAAAGGCTAAATAGGGTGGTCAACTGGACTTTAAACTAGAAAGTGGTGGGGGAAAGGAATTGTAAAACTCCAAGAAGTATAACGGCCAATGGGAAACAAAGTAGCAGGTTAACATCTGTGGGCATAGATTCGACTGCATGGAAAAGTATGAAAACAAAATGAATAGAAAGGAGAACTTGAAGAGGTTATTAAAGTCATCAGAACTCAAAATAGGACAGGTGGATGAATACAGCAGGCCAAGCAGCATCAGAGGAGCAGGAAGGCTGACATCTCGGGCCTAGACCCTTCTTCAGAAATGGGGGAGGGGAACGGGGTTCTGAAATAAATAGGGAGAAGGGGAGGCGGATAGAGGAGAAGACCGGTGGAGAGGAGACAGACAGGTCAAAGACGCGGGGATGGACCCAGTAAAGGTGAGTGTAGGTGGGGAGGTAGGGAGGAGATAGGTCAGTCCAGGGAGGACAGACAGGTCAAGGGGACGGGATGAGGTTGGTAGGTAGGAGATGGGGGTGTGGATTGAGGTGGGAGGAGGGGATAGGTGGGAGGAAGGACAGGTTAGGGAGGCGGGGACGAGCTGGGCTGGTTTTGGGATGCGGTAGGGGGAGATCTCCCTACACTCGCCCCTACACTCACCTTTACTGGCTCCATCCGTGCCTCTGACACGTCTGTCTCCTCTCCACCTATCTTCTCCTCTATCCATCTTCTATCCGCCTCCCCCTCTCTCCCTATTTATTTCAGAACCCCCTTCCCCTCCCCCATTTCTGAAGAAGGGTCTAGGCCGGAAACGTCAGCCTTTCTGCTCCTCTGATGCTGCTTGGCCTGCTGTGTTCATCCAGCTCTACACCTTGTTATCGCAGATTCTCCAGCATCTGCAGTTCCTACTATCTCTGAAACAAAATAGGACAGAGTTTTTGGAAAGGGTTAGAAATCAAACTTCACACGGGATAAAGAGATGACATTGAGAAGAGGGATGATAAATACAGGACTGAAGGTGTCATATTTGAATGCACACCATATATGAAATAAGGTAAATGAGTTTATGGTGCAGATCGAAATTGGCAGGTATGTGGTATGCATCACTGAGACGTGGCTGTAATGGGATCAGGATTGGAAGCAAAATATCCAAGGATATACATTCTATCAAAAAGACAGACAGGTGGACAGAGGGGTTGAGGTTTCCTTATTAGTAAGAAATGAAATTAAATCAATAACAAGAAATGATGTAGGGCCAAATGATATGGAATCTGTGTGAGTAGAGTTGAGGAGCCGCAAAGGTAAGAAAAAACCATAATGGGAGTTATGTATAGGCCTGCTAACGGTATTCAGGATTTGGAGCACAAGATGCACCAGGAGATAGAAAAGGCGTGTAAGAAAGGCAAGGTTGCAATGATCATGGGGAGGATTTCAGTGTGCAGGTGGACTGGGAAAATTAGGTTTGTAGTGGATTTTTTTGCAAGAAATTTGTAGAATGTCTATGAGATGGCTTTTTGGAGCAGCTTGTGGATCCCACTAGGGAACAAACAATTCTGGACTTAGTGATGTGCAGGGAGCTTAAGGTGAAGGAACCCTTAGGAGGCAGTGACCATAATGTGATAGAATTTACTCTGCAATTTGAGAAGGAGAAATTAGAATCAGATGTAATGGTATTACAGTTGAATAAAGGCAGCTATAGAGGCACGAGGGAAGAGCTGACCAGAATTGATTGGGAGGGGACCCTAGCAGGAAACCCAATGGAACAGCAATGGCGGGAGTTTCTAGGAGTAATTCAGGAGACACAGCAAAAACTCATCCCTAGGGAAAACAAGCATACTAAAGGGACGACGAAGTGACCATAGCTGACAATAGAAGTCAGGGACAGCATAAAAGCAAAATAGAAAGCAAATAATGTGGTTAAGGGCAGTCGGAAACTTACAAAGACCAACAGAGGGCAACTAAAAAAGAAATAAGGAGGGAGAAAATTAAATATGAGGGTAAGCTAACAAGTAATATAAAAGAAGATTGCAAGAGTTTCTTTAGATATCTAAATGGCAAAAGAGAGGCAAAAGTGGACATTGGGCTGCTGGAAAATGACGCAGGAGAAGTAGTAAGGGGGAGCAAAGAAATGGCAGAGGAACTGAGCAAGTACTTTGTGTCAGTCTTCATGGTAGAAGACATGAGTAACACCCCAAAAATTCAAGAGTCAGAGGGCAGTGGTGAGTATGGTGGCCATCACCAAGGAGAAGGTGCTACAAAAATGAAAGGTCTGAAGTGAATAATTTACCTGGACCAGACGGTCTACACCCCAGAATTCTGAAGAGATAGTGAAGGTGTTAGTGGTGATCTTTCAGGAATCACTGGAGTCAGAGAGGGTCCTAGAGGACTCAAATGCCTAATATAACTCCCCCCGTTTAAGAAGGGAGTAAGGCAAAAGATGGAAAATTACCGGCTGATTAGCCTCCCCTCGCTCGTTGGTAAGATTGTGGAGTCCATTGTGAAGGATGAGATTTCTGAATACTTGGAAATGCATGGTAAAATAGGGCAAACTCAGCGAGGTTTCATCAAGGGGAGGTTAAGCCTTACAAATCTGTTCGAATTCTTTTGAGGTCTAATCTGCTCATTAGCTCCATGGAGAAGTTATGTACCTAGACTTCCACAAGGCCCTTGACAAGGTGCCACACAGGAGGCTGCTGAGTAAGATAAGGGCCTATGGTGTTAGAAGCAAGGAACTAGCATGGATAGAAGATTGGTTGTCTGGCAGAATGCAGAGAGTAGGGATTAAAGGGTCCTTCTCAGGATGGCAGGCAGTGACTAGTGGTGTTCCACGAGGCTCAGTTTTGGGATCACAAGTTTTCCCATTATACATTTAATGATCTAGATGAAGGAACTGAGGACATTCTGTCTAAGTTTGCAGACAATACAAATGTAGGTGGAGGAACAGGTAATATTGAGGAGGTAGGGAGGCTGCAGAAGGATTTTAGATGGATTAGGAGAGTGGGCAAAGAAATGGCAGATGGAATACAACGTGGTAATGTGTGAGATCATGCACTTTGGTAGGAAGAATAGAGGCATTGACAATTTTCTAAATAGGGAGAAACTTAAGAAATCTGAAGTGCAAAGGGACTTGGGAGTCCTAGTCCAGGATTCTCTGAAGGTAAACTTGCAGGTTAAGTCAGTAGTTAGGAAGGCAAATACAATGTTGGCATTTATTGTGAGAGGACTAGAATATAAAAGCAGGGATGCACTTCTGAGTCTTTATAAGGCTCTGGTCAGACCACATGCAGAGTATTGTGAGCAATTTTGGGCTCCATAACTCAGGAAGGGTGTATTGGCCCTGGAATGGGTCCAGAGGAGGTTCACGAGAATGATCCCAGGAATGAAAGGCTTAATATACGAGCAACGTTTGAGGAGTCTGGGTCTATACTCGATGGAGTTTAGAAGGATAAGGGGGAAATAATTGAAACTTAGAATACTGATCAGCCTGGACAGAGTGGACATTGGGAAAATGTTTCCATTAGCAGGAGAGACTACGACCTAAGGGCACAGCCTTAGAGTAAAGGGAAGACCCTTTAGAACGGAGATAAGGAGAAACTTCTACACCCAGAGAGTGGTGAATCTTTGGAATTCACTGCCACAGAAGGCCGTGGAGGCCAGGTCATTGAGTATATTTCAGACAGAGATAGATATGTTCTTTATTGTCAAGGGGATCAAGGGTTATGGGGAAAAAGCGGGAGAGTGGGGTTAAGAAACTTATCAGCCATGCTTGAATGGCAGAGCAGGCTGAATGGCCTAATTTCTGCTCCTACGTCTTATGGTTTGAAATAGTGTACATAAAAATTTGCCAAATTTGTAAATTTTCATTTACTAGTGGTTTAAATGATGCCTCCATCTTCAGAGTATTAATTTAAATTGCAGCTTTCAATAATTGGGTTTCAGTAGATTTTGTTATAGTTTCCTCTTAATTTTAAGCTTACATTTTTAGTAGTATTAGATGTTTGTCAGTCCAAGCTATACAAGTGTTCTGTAATTAAACAATTGGCAGTTCTCATGGTGCAAGCAGAATATTATATGCACACCT